TGTCTAAAGCCTTCTAATAGACCCCATTAGAAAGTTTTGATATAATCCTAAAGACCTTGAATAAAAATAGAAAATTGACAAGAATTAAGAAGAGCAAAGGCCATATAAATTCTCCAGGTAAATTTGTGTCTCTATTAGCCTTAAATCCTAATGACCTAATTTTTAAATGTTGCTCTATAGTCCTTGCCCTGAGAATTTTGTTTCCTATTTGAGGTATTCATAAAAACTCCAGGAGTGTACTGACCTGAATATTTCTGCCTTTTTCCAGAAAAAAAAAAAAACCAAAAACTAGGCAACCAAAGCCTCCAGATAGGCAATATTTATGTCAATTCTTGACTTTCTTCTGTTTAGCATTTCCCAAATGTTAATGTGCATGCAGGTCACCTGGGGATCTTCTTAAAGTGCAGATTCTGATACAGTAGGTCTGGGGTGGGCCAGGATTCTTCATTTCTAGCAAATTCCCCAGTTATGCTGATGATGCTAGTCAGTGGAGCATACTTAGTCAGTGGTAAGTCTCTGGTAGTGGCTCCTATTCTATGGATCTTCTGAAGAGCTCTGTTGAGAAGCCCCTCCCATCTTTCTATCATATATATCTTTGCATTACTCTATCTCACCAGTCAGCTAAAACCTAAACCTGCACAGAGAGAAGCCATCCTCGGGGTTTTGGGTAAGAGAAACTGACTTTTATTTTAGAATAAGGTTAAATAGTCATTAGAATTTGGTATTAAGTATTTCTTAGAATTTGGTATTAAGTCTTTCTCTGTCTACTTCTGTGATATTTAACATTTGGATGTTGCAAAGTGGGTAACAAGTAGTATATATGAATGGTTTATGTCTTTAAATTACAGTGAATTTAGGTTTAAAGTATTCCTTTCATTTGCTTTCAAGAGAGGAGCAAGAGATGAAATCAGAGTTAGCTGGTACTAAAAATTACAATATCACAACCTAATTAATAATTTGATGCCAAGCTCATGTAGATATAGCCATGTCCTCTCTGTATATGTTGGAGCTGAGAACCACTATCCTCCATTGCCATCCTTTGATCCTTCAAAATATGGATGATTCAAAGATGAGCAAGACCATAGGTCATAAAGAGAGATTTATTTCTGAGCCAGAGATTTAGAGATTTCTGTATGTTAGACACTTGCAAATGTTTTAGCAGCTGGTGTTGTTAATTACATTTTCAATTAAGAAGTTCCAGACAGTTCCTAAAATGAGGGCTGAATGAGCAATGTTGAAAAATCCTGAAAACTAATTTAGCATTTAATAAAATCATGCATACCTAAAGGCAGTCTAAGAATATGTCATTTCATTTTTTTCTAAGGGAATGAAACTCATGTCTTTTTTTTTTTTTTACAAATATTCTTACAAACACACAGAACAAAATTGGTTAATTTTTCACAGTTTAGTTCAATAATTTAAATATTTCTTTTACTATTTCTACTTCATGGAAATTGGATGAGGTAAAGTGTGTGTTTTTGACTAAATGTTAAGATAAAATAACACTACTGTGCAAAACAATATTCTAAACTCAGAGTGGAATAGAAGACACGTACCATAGAATATTTGCAGCTTGTTCCTGTTTTACCAAAAGTATGTATCTTGAAAAGCACGTCATTGTCTCCATTAGAAATATTCATTTTCCCCTTTCTACATATGTCAAAAATGTATTCTTCCTTCTCCTCTCTTTTGTTAGAATTCTGTTATTCAAAAGTAGCAAGTATGAGATTGTAGCTAGGAAAGTTAAGTCTACATACAAATAGAAGAGAATCCATTTAAATCCTTCATTGTAAGTACAAATGGGAAATTGTAAATAGTTTTTGAATGATTTCTATGTTTTATTTACAATTGTTGCATTTTCTTATTTATTTCAATGTTTATTCTTAATTATAAAATAATCGAAGATGTCAGATATTCATATACTCACCAAATAGTTTTAATAAATGTTAACATTTTGCATAGATATCTATTATGTTGTCTTTTAGCAAGATTTTTTTCAATGAAAATAAAACATTAAAAATATTTGTCACAAAAGCATGTTACAAATTAAAAAAAAACTTGTCAATATTGTCAATGAGGTAGTTAAATCACATATACTGAAATTATCTGCTAACTCACACATAGCAGCTTACCAGAACCTTAAAGGTTGACAAAATGGCCTCTAAGAAGTTCTTTCCTGGGTTTCTTACACCACCTCAGTGTCCAAAACTAACATTAATGATCACCAAGATTTAGATTTTCTTATGGGGAAAACACTTATTAAAAAAATTAAAACGATTTGTTGTATAGTTCTTACAAATATTTATTTTTGAAAAAAATAATTTTTGCTTTTACATTCTCATTTGTCCTGTACTTCATTTATAATCTATTAAACACACACACACACACACACACACACACACATATATAAACTTTAAAGATCTACTATACTCTCTTCTAAAAGTCCTTGATTGCCACTGGATATATTAAGTTGTGAGAAGTAACAAAGTACAAGTTTTAAGGTGTAAAAATTATTAATAATTGAAACAATAAATTAATATTTGTCATGTTTAGAAATAAATGTATACATAAATAATTTAGATGATGGGAGAAAATTTTGATTTTGGGGGGGTCATTTTTAGATATAGCTAGGAAGTGTAAAGTGGTTCATCTTTCCCTTACAGATGAAGGTTGAGAAGGAAATTCTCAAATTTCAGACTATATAGTTATTATTATTAAGTAAAGTTGAAGAAAGAGTTGTATGTGAAGCACTCTGGGCAACCACCTTTGATCGCTTAGGCTGTGAGTGCCTGTGTGGTGCACTGTGTTCCTTTAAATCTTGGTTTACAGTGACGATATTATGTGTATTTATCTTGGGGCAAATATCTTGTTTGTCTCATTTGAAGTCTAGAAAGATAATTCTCTGTCAGCTTAGTTTTTATTATTTGAGGTAGATTATCCCCCTTTTTTGGCTATTTTTTAATCATCATATGATGATACATAATTTTATAAAGCGTTTATAAAATCCTTTCTATAATATTATTTTGGGCTTCTGTGTAAAAGCTTAAAAATATATTTCAGAAATAAACTGCTTATGCCTATTTATTTGATATCTTTTCCTGTTGGACTTTAGACAAAATCTTGCTTAATGAAACTCACATATAATAATTTTTTTTCCATTTTACCCACAGAATTATTAGTTTAAAAACAACTATTTAAGATTGATAATGCTATGCTTTCTACGATAAATTTATAGTTTTGCAGTTTTATTCACTGTAAAGAATGCTTTTTTTAATATAGTTTTCTATGAGCTGGTTTCAATAACTACATCTTTTTGAAAGTACTTAGTTGTTTCAAAGTTTTATTCATAGTGTTTGACATCTTAAAGCATATTTTTCATGATTTGTGAAATATTTTCTTTTTTGCCTTATAATGTAATGAACTAATGGAAATGAACTTTTCAAAATTTTCAATATTATTTAATAGTGACAACCTGGTTAATTTTTGTTTCTTATTTCTGATCAAGGTAGTCAAGATGGCTTGAGATTCCTCAGTTCCTTAAAATGGAGTTCATGAATTCAGCCTTTTTTAAGCTGAAGTGTAATGATTCTTAGCTGCTTATTTCACACTATTAACCATTAGACACTACTGACCTCTCAACTGGAAACCTAGCTTACAGGGTACAGCACACAAACATTTCATTCCATTGAACTTTATAAAGAAAATTTTAAACTTTAATCTTTCATATAAACCTTGAGCTCAAGTGCTCATGCACATGCAACTTTGTAGTAAATCCATTGCATTAGAGTTTTCTGGTAGTTGGCTAAAGAAATGAGTACCGACTTATTAGAGAACATTTGATGAATATTTTCCATTTTGGTAGATTAAATGATTTTACATGGATATTTATTCCACCATTAATAAAATACCACTATAAATCTTTCTTCGCTCCACCCTCCAACCCTTCTGCAGAATTTTTCTTGGTGTTAATTAGACTGAAGTTTGCCAAAATTCAGTTGCATTCCCACAAAAGAAAAGAATTTCCCCCTTCTAATATTGAGGTGAAATATGTTCTCTGCTGGGCTTGCAGAGAACACAGACTAGTGGGACAGCCATGATTTCTGACTGGGTCATCTTGTTGGGTCTGTCTGCAGTTAACCACTCAGTGTTTACTTGAAAACTGGGAGATGGACAATATTATAGCCTCTGCCGTCAAGGAATCTAAACCCAAGGGGAAAGGATTTGAAAAGCATAAATCTCTCTTCCAGTATCGTACAGTACTGAATACGAATTCCACATTGTACAATAAGAATGACTAACATGTTTAGAGATGCCCCATTGCATTGCACAACGTCCATTTATCCAAAGAAAGGGCCAATAGAGAGATTCATGGCGCGCAGGCAGTCTAAAAGAGAGCAAAAAAGAACTCTGGGCATGGGTGAGCACTTGGAAAAACTTCATGGAGGAGATGGCATCTGAGCTAGGCCTTGAAGCACACACTGGGTCGCAGATGCCAGAGAAGCCACTATTAAGTGGGAGGACTCGCCTCTTGTCCGAAAGTCAGCATACCATCGGGCGGTGCTAACCGTCACGGTTTGAGAAGACCCCTACAAATGCAGGGATCTGACTTAGGACAGTCACTTCCGCTGTTCGGTTTGCCAAGTCTGGCTTCCAAAAGTACACCGCAGGGCTCCGGCTCACGCAGGTGGGCACCTTTCTCCTTTCCTTAGTTGTGACTCTTCGGTGAGACTCTCCCATCCGCAAAAGGCTGGTGAGGCTAAAATAGGTGCCTATTCCCCCACCAAATTCTGGTGCTCTGGAGCTGCGCGGTGGTGGAGACCTGGGTCCCGCCTTACCCTGCAGGAGGAGGCGCGGCGCCGCCGCTTTGGGTCGGGTCCCTGGCCGGGTGCAGCTCCCCTCCGCCTCCTTCTCGCGGTGGCAGCGGGAGCTGGGGGAGGGAGGCGAGGGGCGGGGCCGGGGCGGGGCCTCTGTGCTGGTGGCCCAGCGGCGGCAGGTGTGGATGAGCGGAGGTACGGCTTAGTGGATTCACGCCCGCTCAGCTGGTGGCTGGGGTTCGAGGTTCCGGGTTTCGGGGGCTGGGGGCCATGGGTGGCCTCCCCGGATGAGCAGCGCAAGCAGCTTCGACCTGTGCCCAACTTGGGGCACAGCCAGGGACGCGCAGGTTTCACGTCCGGCGCCTGCAGGAGACAGACGCGCGTCCCCGGTCACTGCGCCCGCGCCGGCTGGGGGACCGCGCCTGGTCCTGGGCCGGATCCGGGAGAAGGCGGCTAGGACTGGGACTGGGGCGGGATGCGGCCCCTGCCTGGGCGCGGGGGAGAGGCTGGTGCCGCCTTCGCTCTTCTACCGGGACCCGCAGGTAAGCGGGTAGAGCGTCGGTCCCGCTGCGCTGGGAGCGGGAGGGCGCGTCCCTCGTGGAGTTGAAGAGCTTCGGGGCCTGGGTACTCGGCGGTCAGCGCCCGGGTCCAGGGCCGCTCGCGCCGGTGGGCAACCGAGCGAGGATGCTGAGGCCGGGTCGGGCGCATCTCGGAGAGCCGCGGCCCCGGCCCTGGCCCTGGCCCTGGCCGAAACACCACCTCCTCCTGTCCAGATCGCAGGCTGTTATCCTGGGGCTATTTCCAGAGTCACAGGTTCGCTCTTCTTCACCACGCCACGAAAAAGGAGCCCTGTGGGTCTATGAGAGTGGTGGGGGCGAGCGCTCTCAATCAGGGATGTCGCTCTGAGCCCATTTGCCGTTTTAAATTACTGTCGCTTTAAAACTTACTCTGCTCCCCTCAGTTAAGAGTGAAGGGAAATTAGGCGTGTAAATCCATACCTCTTAGGATTAGAGTTTGTTTTCACTGTGTGCAGTGGGAAAATGATGTTCCATAGATCCTAATTTTTACAACAATACTTCACCTAGAGAACCCCGGGTCCTACAGACAGACAATGGCAGGCGTGAAAAAACAGCGGAAATTTCACAGCGCGGCAGTGGTAGGGGAGAAGTCAAGAAAAACTTGGGCATAAGTGACCTCTAAATGAGCTTCTTTCTGAAAGGGTTTTGCCCCCGCACTAGTGGCAGCAGGACAAGAATGACCACTCGGAGCCCGCACCCAGGTTTGAGCTGGGCCGTGGCTGGACTCCCTGGTCACCTGGGGACCCTCTTGTTTCTGGAATCGGGCCTTTCAACTTCCTTATTGAAATCGTGGAAGCTTTGAAGTGAAATTGGAGAAATGATACTATTTCTTTTCTTTCCCCTGTAGTGTTTATTACCTACTTAAATGTTTTTCTCATGGGCAGAAAAGTTAATAATATTTTACTTTATAATTTATTGCCATGATAAAAAATTGATTTAAAAATCAACTTTAGTTTTATGTGTTGTGAACTTTGTATTTGGTTGCAGGGAAGGATTAACGACTTATTTTTAAAGTCTAATTCTGGTTATTTTAAATTAAGGTGAATCCTTAGGTGAGGCTTTTATTTTGAATGTAAAGCAAAAAAGTAAAAACAACAGGTTTTAAGTGCGCTGGAAAGAACCTTCCCCTTCCACCTTTTTTTTTTTTTCCTTAACTTGTGGGGAGCCTCCTGAAAATTGGCCAATCTCTTTAAATTGAATTTTGGGTTCTATGTTAGAAAGTTTTGATTTGTGTTTATGTTACAGAATTATTGACTTATGGACTTATTAGCTTCTGATTTTTTTATTTATATCATATTAAGTCTTTATTGTAGATATGAATATTGCTTACATGATAGATGATTGTGGAGAGAACTCAAGAAATTTTTTAAAAGTTCCCAAGAGTTATTCTTTGGGTGAAATTTTATAATTTTACAGTCTTAAAAGTTCTGAAAAGTCTGTATCAAGATTAAGCAATTGATAACATGGATGGTTGACTCGTTTTGAATTTTTAAATAGGTTATTAAGAAGGGAGGTATGAAACGTCTTATATTTGAGCATCCTTTTAAAAAGTAGGAGTGGAAAGAAAAGTGAAGGACAACTTTTTGTACAGTGTATAACTAGATAATTCTAGAAGCTATGAAAATGCTTCAGAAAGTAAAATTAAAAGGTAGGTAAACTTGTATATTGTGTTTGTATAACTTTAAGGAGCATTCACACTTGTGAATCTCAAACCTTCAAGTATATAATATTGAACTGGATAAAAAAGAAGTTTACTGTATATCATGTTTTCCCTTAGATTAAAAGATTATCTTAGTTTGCCTTAAAATTGAAGCTCTAGTTAAATTTGGTGCTGATTTGGGATAATTCCAAAACTTTAATTTAATCTAACTCATTTATTTTAATACCTTATTTTCTTCAGTAATAGGTCTTTGTAAGATGCAATTGCTTGGGATGTTGACATTTAATGACATTAGATGTCACTAAATTTTTCAAAATTGCCTTGATTTTCCTTCATTATGTATATTCAGGTGGCATTAGCATATGAACATTATGAGGTCTCTTAGCAAATTTGAACTGTGAAAAAGCTATAGATGCAATTTCTTGGTTATTAACATTTCAGGGATGAAATCTAGCATTAAGATAAAAACGACTTTTTGAAGACATTTTAGAATATGTAATATATGTAATAATATAATTCTTAGAGAATGTTTTTAATAGTTCTTTTAATCATAAATAACAAAAGAACTGATAATTATACTTTAACAATTTCTTGATGCATTTAATGACTGTTTCCTCACAAGTAATCTCCCAAGTAGCTACAAAATTTTCATAGGAATGAAAATTTATTTTCTGTTAAAGCATATTTCTATATAGTAGGAAAAAAATAATCTCATTGAATCTTGAGTAGGTCAATCTTAACTATTAAACAGTGAAATTTAATCTTTGTATTGTGAACTATATTTTCACCGAGGACTTTTTAACTATGTCTTCATTTTAAATGCAAATAAATACATAGAAAGTTAACCAGTTATTCCATTAGTATAATATAAGTGCCCTAATGTGTATGGCTTATTTGTATAAAGTAAGTTTTTTTCGCTCACATCTTATGTGAGAGATGAGTCCAGGAAATTATTGAAAGAGTTTGGGGAAAAAACTTCTAAGTGTGATTATGTTGAAAATGTGTGTTGGTTTGTCATTGTAGGGGGGTTAAAAAGAAGAATTTGGGATCAAAATGTACTTTTAGATTTAGATTTCCTAGCACTTTCTACTTTGTTGTATAATTGCCTTTTTAGTCAGTATGTAAGTTTTGGATATACTACAGCAGACACCCTCCCCCAAAATAAAATAGTTCCTCATTGGAACATCCTTAATGATGGTTTCATCAAATGTACAACCTGTTCTGTATTGTCTGAGTACAATATTCCCAATGATTCAACATCTGAAGCCAATTCAAAAGTTAAATATATTAAAAATTAAATAACTAATTTCCATTTTAAGAGAAATATCCTCTTAAGAGATTGCTTTTTTTAAAATGTTACCAATAGCACCAGTCCTTTGAGTAAAATAATAGTTATAATAATTAAAATGTATACTTTTAGCAGGGGAAAAATGTAATTTATATTGACCTTGGGGGCATTTATACTGAGAAATTTGTGGCCCAGTTTCTATTTCTGTATCTGTGCTGCCTCTTCTAGAGGATTGGTCAGGTACTGAGAGAGGAAGAATTGTAGAGAAAATTAGTAAAACAAGCTATTTACGTTGGTCAGAGTTCTGCCTGATAAGCTTGTGTCCATGTGAATTTAGAACCAGGAGAGAAGCTCTGAGACTGTTTCACCATAGCACTTTTACTGATTCTTGAGAGTTAGAGAAGAAGGGAGCAGTCCTGTCTGACATTTGCAAAGCTGACTTCATGATGTATAGCAAATCAAACCCACGGAATCTTTCAGTCTTGTCCAATTCAGCTTCACTTCCTTGCCAGGGGCATAACAGCTGAAGTTGAAAGTCTTATGCCCAAATGGGAAAATTAGTGCCATTTGTGTACAGGCAGTAGCCTTATTCAAACTGCTTTCAACTTAATTAGGGAAAAAAACCCAAAAGACAGTATGATTTGATTAAAAGTCCTCCAGGGTAGGTAGAATACAGGCTTAAGACTGGGGCTCAAGAATGCATTTAGGCTTTCACTTATTTTGAATTATTAATAGATTGTGTTGTCATTCTCTGGTATGCTATTTTGTGATTTGCTTCAACCTCTACAGTTTGGATGATGAGAAAAATAAAACGAAATGGTGAATTTTAAAATGACCCATGTGGTATAACACTGATCATATATAGTTCTTCCACTTCTGCTGAGATATATCTTTGGGTTTTCTTCATTGTATTTTAAGTCTAAAGTTCTTTCCTTAGAAGTTATTCTGATTCTGAGAAGAGTGGCAGAAAAGGAAAAAGAACTGTATCTAATAGGCAATGCTATCTGACAACTGACATCTTAAATTATCTCTGTCAAATTTCAGGTGGACTTTGGCCTCAGTAGCAAATTAGATATGCATAGAATAAGATAAAGAAATCAACTCAGAAAGACTTGCCTCAGACACTTGCAGCACACCTGATTTTCTGACTTAAATGTGACATGTAATGATCAATCAAGACCAATATAATTGTACATTTGAGGTGAAACTACTTTACAGTTCAAGGTTTAGATGCAAGCAATGGATATATCCCCTCAAAGTCAAACTGATAAGATCATACTAACTAAAATAATCTGAGATTTTTGAATTCCAGTGCATGCTCAAGTAGAAATTCCAGTCATAAAGTCATTATTGAATAACCCTGTGAGTTTCGGGTCCTACCTTTTACTGATTATCTCAACTCCATTGATGTAATTTTTAAAAAGTTAAATAAGAATCAGTGGACTAAAGCAATAAGTATGATTTCTGTGGCAAAATCTACATGTAGTGAATGAAACCTTTTAAATTAGGATGGAACTAGCTTTAAACTGTAGTGAGTTATGAACTAACTGGTAATATGACATTTCCCTTTCATATTCTTTATCATGACTCAAAACTGATCTCCTTTATTATGGATGGAAGTGGATTGAATTTTAAAATCAAATAAGCAAGCTAACCTGAGCTTGCATCTTGACTTTAATAGTCTTATGAAACTGCTGCATGTTTGCTAGCATTCTCATAATGATAAAATTCCAGGTGGCTTTATTATTAATTTTTTGTCTCTGGATTTGGAATTAGGGTGATTTAAAAAGAATAAAAAATGTAACATTCACTTTTTAAATGACTGTATATCTGCAAATTAAGTAGTCTTCATGAAAAATAGTAGTTTAGATTGTAATCTGAAGTACAAAAAAATGACACTGGTACCTAGACCAAGTGTAGCATTTTAATTGCTTCTAATAATCAATTAGAATTGTATTGTAACTTTGTAACTTCTGAAAACAAATTTCTAGTTTACATAAAAGGAAAATTTAATAGGACATATTAATCTTACTAAACATTAACTCATATTAGCCAAAGGAGTTTTCTCATGGAGTTATACTTTTTCAACCAGAAGCAACTGAAAATATTTTGATAGGAAAAAAAAGAGAAATATAGGGGAAAATAATGGAAAGATAGAAAATAAAAGATTAACCAATTTGGATTGTTTTTTGAAGACTCTTTTACTTATTTATTTTGCAGTGCTGGAAATAGAACCAAGGGCCTTGCACATGGTAGGCAAGCGCCCTATCACTGAGCTACATCCCCAGTGCAAAACTCTTTAATATAATTTTTGGTACTTAAAGGTTTACAGATTCTGGAGAAGTGGCTGTAAATCTGAAGTAATGACAAAGGTAATGAAAACATTTGAAAGGTTCAGTTTCCTTTTAAAATAAATGTATTTGATAACTGATTAAGGCTCATGTTCTAAATTTCTTTTTTTAAATTAACACATTGTTAATTTAAATGAGACTCATAAAAATGAAAAACTAATTATAATTCATTCAAGAATAATTTAAAAAGTAAATTTATGTGAAAAGTAAATCTTTTGAAGATAATCATAATTGTAGGATTTTCTTGATGAAATTTACTAACGTAGAAATTATAAAATAGCTACATAATTTCAGAATAATACACAAGTTACTTGGTGTTAGATAGCTATAATTAGTCAAACTAAAACATTTTAACTATAAATATTAAAAAATAAATAAAATTATATAATTCATTATTATCTGCTTATTTCAAAAAACGTGTTCAAATTATTGAAAGTATTAGAATCAACAGAATTATTTTCCCAAACTGCTAGGGAATAAACACCATCCAAATCTTTTTTTCAAAATCAAACATTTAAGTAAGATACGTGTCCAACTCTTCTAACTGCCAGAGCCACAATAGCAACAACAGTTAAAGCTATATGCATTGATCATGTCCTGTGTGCCATGCTTTATTCTACATGCTCTATCTCTGTTACTGCAAATAATCTTCATGGTAGTCCTGTGATCTAAGTGCATGATAGTTCCTATTTTATGAATGTGAAAACTGTCCTCACAAAATTAAAGAGGTCAGATAGCAAGTAAATGGTATGACCCTGGGATTCAAATGTATCTTTTCTATATTCCTGTCTGTGCTCTTGATTACTTGGCAATACTTCATAGTCATTAAGCAGAATGTTTGTGAGACTTTTTTAAAAAGTTATTTGGAAATCATTTGTACAGCATCTTGAATGTCCTAGTTATAGTATGTGTTTTTTCCTTAGGTTTTCTGAACTAGTTCAAAGCCTTTCATCCCTAAGTCTGGCAAAAGACACAGATGATATAGGTTGTGATGTTTATGACCAAAGGAAGCAGCAGATAGTGTCTTAAAGTACTAAGTCTGATATTTTAGAGGAATTATAAATTTTCTCTGAAGATCATTCCTAAGACTTGGCTTATTTTTTTTTTGAAACCACGGTACTGGAATTGAAATACAGTTGTAGGCTTTGGGGCACCTAACTCATAATAGGTGTTCAATGACTAGTTCTTAAAAAATGAAAGAGGAAATTAATAAAATTACCTCTTCAGGTGTTGTGTTTTTTTTTTTTTTTTTTTTTGTGTGTGTGTGTTTTGTTATTTTTCCCCTATGAGCGCTCTAATGTATGCTGTGGATAGAGGAAACATAGTAGGAAGCCTGGTGATTTAATACTAACTATACAACCTGGGACAAGTTCTTGGACCTTCTGGAAACTCAATTTCTTCTCTTCTGAAATGTAAAGCATTCTATCCCCCTTACTAGTTGTAATGGTTATCTAAATTATAATTCCCTTTTATTATGACATCTGACCTTTAACATGGCATAAAGCCTATTGGAACCGTGGATATTAAGAGACAACTGGGTTTTTCATCTTTTGGGTTTTTTTTTTGGGTAGAATTCTAAGAAATGAATGGTGAACCGCTACTCTAGCAGGCAACAAGCGACTCCATTTCCATTCTTCCTCTGGTCAAATGTGTCTCTAGAAAAGATGCCTCTTCATCACCTACCACATTGGCTGGGCCCCGCTTTTCTCAGCCTTTTAAACATTAGAGCATATGAGAGATTTGGGGCTAAAATTCTTGGTAAGAAACATCCCTGGTAATTATAAAGGTTTTACTATTAAAAATAAAAAGTGAAATACTGGAGTAAGCAAAAGTTACACAGTGGCAATAGACCACAGGGAAATGAGCTCTCATTATTTTTCTCTTGTACCATATAAAAATGTATAAAAATTATCAAAAAGCTAATGTGCAGGGATATTGCCTTATTTGTCTATAAAAATGGAGCTCAGTAACATAACTGCTTCTTGGAGCTTTGGAATATTTTATCCTGTATTCTTGTTTGAATTCCTCCTCTATTTAAGATATATACATGGAATCGAAGTGTTTATGTAATAGTTCTATCCTTTTGCCTGCAGGTCAGTTGTAATAAATCTAGGATGTGATGATGAAAAAAAAAAAAGAGACAACTGTCACAGTCAGTCAGTCATAATTCTCAACACATGAGAAAGGGGCCCGTGTAATTGTTTCCATTAAAGAGTGAAAGCCAAGGAATAAGGAGGGCATGGTGCTTTACTGAGTCTCAAGTGGGTTAGAAATTCATCAGAGTAGTAGAGAAAAGGTCTTGGGGTCCAGTACAGAATCTCTAGTGTTTACTATCCTGTGGTTTTAGACAAGTCACCTGGGCTGTCTGTGTGTGAACTGAGGACACACTTCATGGCTGCATATGTTTCTTAAACACAGTCTCTTTTAAAGTTCTGCTTGCTTAGTTTTAAGTGCCTGTTGTCACTGTACCTCTTGTAGGGGAGTTAAGGAAACTCCCCACGGGAAGGCACTACCCTTACACACACACACACACACACACACACACACACACACACACACTTCCATAGTAAGGTAAAGCACTACCTGCACCTATGTTTCCCTGTTAGAACTGTTCTCCCCTGATTCCAGTCTTTCCCACTGCTCTCTATCCCAGTTGGCAAAGGAAGTTAGGACTGATTAGTTTTATCTTGTGGAGGTTAAAGATCTTGAACTCCTGAACAGGATAATTGCAAAGGCCCCTTTCAAAGCTAACATTTTGCAATGCCTGAAATTCAGCCTAGGCACCCAATAAAAGAGCAAAGTTGGAAGGCTGAAGAATGGACTAAGTCAGTTTTCAGACTGAAAAGAAAAAAAAAGACTACAAGAAATAGATAAAAAGATTAAAGAAAAAGAAATAAGAGTATATATGCTATTAAATATATGCATTAAATGTATGTACATTTGAGTTGAAATGAGTTCAAATGTCAAAGCAAAAATGTTAAAAACAATTAGATTTTCATGAGAAAAAAATAAAAATATAAAAGATAAATTTCATAATGGAAAAGTGACTTTTTAATAGTAAAAACAATGAAAGCTTTAGTTTTTTTCATCCGAGTTTCTCTTCAGACACTCATTAGAGTGGAGTGGTTATATTCCAGGAAAGCAAAGCTTTGCAAATGGGGAAAGCAAGTTGAAAGACAGGGTGATGTAAAACAGCATTCCAGAACAACACGAAAGACAACCAAACCTACACATTTTGAAAGAGAGATTTTTTTTTTAATAAAAGAATATTCTAAAGTATTCTGAAAGTAGGAAGCCATTGTCTCTTTTTGTGTCTGAAAATGAAACTCTGCAACTGCACAGATTGAAAGTTGAAATTTAAGCAATGGAAGAAAAAAAAACAGACCAGTTTGTCATCAAAAATAGCGTTGCTGGCACCTGTGGCATTCTAGAAAATGACACTAGTTTGTGCATAATCATATATGAGAGTAAGCAATGGAAATGAGCAAATGTTGCTTATCAGTTACCAACTGAGCAGGGCCTCTCCAACTGAGCAGCAGCTTGAGGTAGGTTGCTGTGGAGGGAACAATCTTAGCACACACTTGTCTCTAGCTCCCACCCCCATGTTACAGATACCAGGCAGGAGTCATGAGCTCTGCATGGACTTTGAAGGCGGCATGTATTTAAATCCCAGTTCAGAACTTAACTTCTGGGTGTGTCATTTGGACTAAAAGCTCCCTGCTTCACCTTTCTCATTTTTTAAATGGGGCTATGCTAAGCTCTAATATTCCCTCCCAGGAATGTTGTGAGGATCAGTGAGCTCATACATACGAAAATATTTTATAACTGTACCTGGATACTTTTACTCTAACACAGAGAGATCTTTTTGGAATTATTTCCAGGGAGAAGAGGGAATTAAACAAAGTGATGAGTCATCTTTTTTTAATTGTTGAAGTTCTTGAGCATTTAGGACATCATTTAAATTCAGGGATTCCTAGTCTGGAGACCATGGATTGTGAGGGAACCTGTAGACAGAATTCAGGAATTGTGAGCTTGTATACAAAACCAAAAAACTGCACTTTATTTTCACTAACCTGTAAGTGAAATTTATCATTGCCTTCAATTATGAAGGAGATAACAAGTTGCACACATATTTAACAGGACCTATGATTTTTCATCAGTAGGAATGAAACACTTTCGTATTACATTGCATGTGCTGATAGCTAGAAATTGTTTAATGCAGCTTTGATATTATAGTAATTATTAGGCCTGCTAGTTTGATCTTGTTATTTAATCTTTTAGTAAAGCAACACACATATGAATGCATCAAACTTTTTGTTTTGTAATTCAGGTATTTTGGTATCATTGGTTTCCTTTATAATCTGATATATTTTATCTTATGCATTTCATCTGAGGAGGGATCCATGGATTCAAAAGAGTTTTTGTTTTAAGTTCTTATTCTGATATGAGAATGGTATGCTTCACCAGATAAGGGCATTAAAGAGTAACCTATGTGCATACTAACTACTTTTCCAAGTAAAAGTTTCCAGTTATGCAAAGAAAAATAGCTGAATATTGTAATATAATGAAACAGTGCTCTGGACAAAAAAATGCATATTCTTTTCATTCTATATCTCAAAAGAGTATTATCTTTGTCAGGCATGGAGGATTCAGGCCAAACCAGGGTGACAATCTTAGTGAATGACAAACAGTATGCACACCTTACAGAGTCAATACCTTCCTAATACCTGTAGATGATGCCTGAACCACTCTGCCTGAAGTGCTCCCATCTAGAAACCCAAATTAAAAGATAAATGTTTACATTTCATTTTTAAATATTGTGTTTTGTCATTATGCATTTAATGTATAAAACTGAGAATAACTGAGATTACTCCACTCCTACAGACCTTTGTTTGAACCTTTGTACGAGTGCTCAGTGCATGCCTAATATATGTGCATCTTTCTCTCCACATAAGTCTTAGTTCCTTAAACTCTCAATCTTATCTTGGCATATTCTCTGCTGACTTTATTTAGCACTTAAGAAGAAATAATTGAGTAAATTATCCTGGTGCACATTTTAGGTCATTGGGACTTTTTATTGCATTCATAGTCTTTTCTGCAAACTCTGCCTTCTGCTTAAAATATTAGACTGCATTTGCAGAACACAACAACTAAGCAAGCATTTATTTCCTACATCAGGTTCATCTTGATTTCCCATGTTGGATATTTAAGCTTCCTCAATAACAGGCACTTGAGAGTTATGTTTATCCTGGGAATTGTCACATTCTTCGTTTTGCTTGGCCTTGGTGTCCTTACATCTGATGATGCATGTCCTTGAGGTCTGCTGTTCTTATGCGACAACCAGGAGCATCAAAACCTTTCTAACCTGGAAGGGCCCAATTTTGTTTTGGGTTGGTGATTGAAACCAAGGAAGGTGAAGGGACTCATTCAGGCTTCATAATGGGTCAATGGTAGACTTGAGCTGCTTCCGTTCTGTATATTTTCATCCATGCCTTTCTACCTCATCAGCCTTTCTACCTCATCAGCCTTTCTTTAAAGTTCATTCTAACCTCTAGATTCTGCATAGGATTCTTTGATCAGCTTTGAAAATTCTGCATTTTATGTATTTTACCTATTAAAGTTTCTGAGAATTTCCACAACAAAAAAACTTGTCTGATTTTTAATACACATTTTTTTGTTTATTTGACCACAGAATCCCCTTTTTCCCTTAGCACCACCTAATAAGAAGTTATACTGTGGGTCTCTACAACTCTGCACAGTGGTGAGCTTTGATGATGATGATGTTGATGCTTACAATAGTGACATTTACAATGTTGTAGACACTGTTTTAAACACTTCATATATATATACATATATATGTGTGTGTGTATGTGTGTATATATGTATGTATATGACTCATATTCCTCATAAAGATCCATTGAAGCAGGAACTATTGTACCATTCATTTTACAGATGAGGAAACTGAGGGCCAGAAAGGAGGCTGAAATGTAGTAGTTTGTTGCTCAAGTAATAGTGTGCTACTGTAAACCAGGCCTTCTCAATATTGGCACTATTGACATTTTGACCTTATAATTTGTTGTTATGGAAGGCTGCCCTGTGCATTGTAAGATTCTTGCCTTTTACCCATTTGTGTCAACCAATAATGTCTACAGATATTGCCACATGTCCTCTAAATTGCTTCTGTTGAGAACTGATGTTGTAAACCTGTAAAGAAATATACTTTCTTGAGAGCCTTCTTAGTAACTTTTGCAGTGACTCATGCTCATGATTGGGCAAATTACACATTGCAGGTTCTGTGACTATGTCAAGCAGTATACACTTGTGTGGAGGCGGATGTGAGTTAAACTTGACCCATGCTACTCTCTTTCGCACCAGTTCATTACACTGCTTCTGGTGAGAGCCAGAAGGCCACAATTGTTGATTCTGCTTTCACCTTCTTTTAACTACCTTCAGCACACACCCCCAATTCATGTATTGTTTCCATTTTATACTTCCCTTTGGACTTGACCCATATAAATACACATTACCCTCACCCCCCCCACACACACACACAAACACACACACACACAAAATCTTGTTTTTTCTCTGTGTAATAGAGGACTTAATACATCTGAATTACTCCACAGTAAGAACTTAGGCCTGAGCCAAGATTAACAGCTTCCAAGAAAAACATACCCAGCAATGAATAACTCACAAAGATTTGGCAAAGCAAAGGTAAAGTTATATGATGAAGTATATTACTAAGTTAGTGGGTTTTATTTTTCCAGTGCGATAACCTATTAAATTCACACACTTCAAATGGATTTGAGGCTTTGGGTCATTGTTTATTTGTAATTTAATATGCCATTTTCAGGAGGAGCTCAGGTATTAAAAAACAGCAGTGAAAACAGCCAGATTTAAATCACGTTCCTGCCAAACATTTACTATGTGACCTCATGTCTTTTTTTTAAGAGTTTGTTTCCCCACTATTAAAATGAGATAATGAGATGAAACTGATCATATAGTTGAAGAGTTGAAATGAGAAAATAGATGCACCGATATTTGGCCCAAGTCCTGGCATGCAAGTTTACCTCCTTCCTTTTCCAAGGCCAATTTCTCAGGGCTTTCAACTTCGCAATTGATTTTTTTTTTCAATTCTTTAGTTGTGAACCAATTGTTTTTTAAGGGGATCAGAGATATCATCAAGTAACCTAGTACAGGTAACTTGTATTACAAGGTGGGGATTGGAGAGCAGGGAGGGTAGGTACAGTATTCAAAACCATTGAGTTTTGAAAGCTTTATATTTAAAGATAGCAAGGTAGCAGAGGGAGGAAGCGTGAGGAGTCACAGAGGACCTGTGGAAACAAAGCTCTCCCTCTGATATTTGTGGCCATTGACTAATTCAACTTTCAATGGATATTTGAATGTCTACAATGTGCTGGAATACTGGGGATTCAAAGAGAGCAAAATACCGAAAATTAGCTACTCTATCCCTGCCCCATGAAAACTTTGTGACCCTGAAATTGGTTCTTAAGCTTAGGTGAACTTGGAAAGATTACTGAGATCCATTAATCATATCTGCTATGGGCAAGAGATAAAGGCAGAAATGGCACCGAGTTTGGTAGTCCTTAGGTTCAATATCTTTCAAAAGGTGGATTTGACCCAAATTATTATATCATGAATCAACTTCTTGAGTCACCACAGTGCTATTTCAGAAATAGAAGAGAAGGAAATAGAGAATTATCAAAGTGTATTATGCATAGTGGTTAGTGTCTTGTAAAACTTGGCTTTAGTTATGTATGTATTGTGTACCAGAGTGTGATGTAAAATACATTTCCTACAACGAGTTCCATAAAAATAATGAGAATAGTGACTACATAAACTACTCCTTTCTCTCTACATTCAAACTGTTTGTATGTCTGGCATTATGCGACACATTTGATAGTCTGGGCCCTGTTAATCAAAAACATAGAATAACGCATTTGTTCTAGTAGTCAGTCTTTAATACATAATATGTTTATTCTTTGAGTCTAATTTCATTAGAGTCTTCATAGTTTATGCAGAGTGGTTAGTAATTATATTTATATTTATGGTAAGTTAAGGAGGGAGGCAAAATAGCCAAGTATTTAGAAGGCACTAGAGTGATGCTTTGCAGTACAGGCCATGCCATTTTAGAGCTGCAAGGCCAAATTGTGATATCACATGGCAAGGCCTTATAGGAACAGCATCAGAGTTAAGCATAGCAATAAAGATGGTGCTAGGTATCACATGTTGGGAGCATGTCCATGGCAAAGAATTAGAAACTGCAAACACTGTTTTACCAGTTGACTTCACAGCTGTTGGTTCCATTTTATTTCAAAAGGGTAGAGAAAGAAATGAAACCCATAATAAGGATAAAAGAAATGTCCATGGGAGAGTATTTGGAAACGACAAGGAAAGAGGACTAGGAGCAAGACAATAAGAAAGATGATCATAACACTTTGCTTCTAATCTAAGGACTGATTTCAAGCACAGAATGGTCATTTCAAAGTCATATGTCAATACTTTGTGATTAGGGAAAAAACCAAAAAACCTTTGTCATGCAACAGGCTTGCATGGCAGTCCCAGGATGAGAACTGGATAGGACTAATTTGAACATAATTTTAAGACATGGTCAATTGAAAGCACCTTGAATTTGGGGCAAAAAAGAATAAGGTTTGAATCTGCTTTTGCCATCCTAGCTCTTTGGCCCTCAGCAGATCATGTCATCTCTTGGAAACCTAATCTTCTACACACACCAAATACATATATATAATCACAGTTCACAGGGTGATTATCAAGATTGACAAAAAGCTCATATGAGTGGTCAAATGGTTATTTCTCTCCAACACTCCACTCTATTGGAAAACACAGATTTACAGTGTATTTTTAAAGCATAAACAATTTCTATGTGAGCACATATGGAAACATGGGCAAGTTGAAGTTGGAAAACATACCAGAAACTTTCCAAAATGATCTTCGATTGTAAAGTAATGAAGTCTGTCACACCCTCCCTGTGTGCCTGTGGCTACTTGTTTTGTCTTGTTGCAGGGAACATGGGACAACAAGCTCACCAAGGTCATCCCTTCCACATTACTGTCCATTGCATTTTATACCATGATCCAGATCAGTGGTTGTGCATCATGCATGTGTAATGTAGACTTAGTATTTCTTGTAGGTTAAAGGGCCTAGTGGAAAACTTATTTTTACTTCTCTTAATTGGTTAAGTGATGCCATTAGACTATCTGGACTAGTTGAATAAGGATTCCATCCAAACTTTCACATCCTAAGAATCTGTGATTCTCCCTTCAATTGAATTGTGATCCACAGTTTGGCTCTGCTTTAGTTTTCTTCCACTTTGTTGGAAGACTTTTGAGCTTCCAGTTGGTTTGGATGGTTAACTACAGCTACAATTAGAACGAAAATAGCTGTCCCATCCCCAGCTCTTCAGTCCCTATCTCCTAAAATTAGTAGCTATAGGAAGGGAGCCCTCCTTTGTTTCCTTGAGATTTGCTGAAAGCAGGACTTCGTTTTCAAAAAAAATACAGCAAGTGCTTAGTGACAAGCCATACTTGCATGTGAACACAAAATGATGTTATCTTTATCCAAACATGTACCTGTTATGACATGTACTTTATAAAAACTCTCAGAAAAGTGCACCTCAGTGAATGGGCACTTTAAAAAAGCATTTATTCATTTAAATTACTGGGAAAACCAAACCAGAGCTGACCTTGTTTGCCCAAATGAAATACACCAAACTATGGTTTCTCTCGCCATTCCAAGTTTACTACCCTCTCTGTGACTTTGGTGTGTGTTTTCTATTCTGCTTCTCTGTAGATTGGCAATAATGTGACCAACAATTTATAGCTTTGCTGGACTTTGTATAAAAAAAATCTAGAGGAATGTTAACTTCATGGAAGGACTTGAAATTGCCATCCTGAATATTGGCAAATTGTCACCACAATTAAAATTCTAGGAGCTACTAATTAAGAGAAAAGACAAATGTTATTCCAACAGCACACAAGTCAGGTGTTTTATTGTTTTCCTGGACTTTGGAATCTTTTTATCAATTTCAAATTTGCAGTGCTTTATATTAAATTTATGAATTACTTTAATTTTACCTTGTAAGATTAAATGATTTAGAAGTTTGATCTTTAATACTTACATTTTGTTTTTTTTACAGATTTACTTGCAAAATACTGCAACTTTGAGTACTATAGAAATAAATGTCTTTTTAAAAATGTTATTCCCCTAGTCAGCTCCATTCAGCTTTTGTGCTGTTCATATTACACTTTTCAGATTGCTTGTTATAATCACTGTGATTTTATTGAATTTTTGAACACTTATTTATAATTTTAGGAAATCTCTATACAATGTAAAGAAAGACTAAATAGATACTAATATACAAAAATAAAATTATATTTAAAATAGATCCACATAAGAATTAAAATGTCTTATCTTAACATCTATTGACCATCCTCTAAAACTTTTTTAAAAACATTTTTGTCAGCTGAGGGGAGTAGCCCATGCCTATAATCACAATGACTCAAGAGGCTAAGGCAAGCGGATCACAAATTTAAAACCAGCCTCAGCAAATCACCTAGGCTCTGACCAACTTAGTGAGACCCAGTCTGAAATAAAATTTTTTTAAAAGTGGGGGCTGGTGATGTTGCTAATTGGTTAGCACACCTGGGTTTAATCCCTGATACAAAAAAAAAAAAAAAAATTGTCACTCAGCATCAAAGTGAGGGAAAATTTAAACAATTTGGTTTTTAGTTTTTATTCTTGCCAGTGGGCATTTTATGCTAATCAAGTTATTAAGTTGAAAAGCTGTCAAGGGTTTGGCGAACTGAATGTCATATTCTCCAAGAGCCAAGCCCTTTAAGTGCTTTTCTAGGGGCAGACGTTTTCTGATGTGCTCAGTCTCAATAATGCTGCTCACTTCTCTAAGTGACCTGATCCCAGGGTACCAAAAAAAAAAAAAAAAAAAAAGCTGTCTGGAAGGCCTCACAGTGTGAAGGCTTGTGAGTTTTGGGGGGCAGAGTGGGGGTGGGGTGGAAAACCTCACCATAGTTAAAAATTTCCAGTACAGGAATCTCTAGGCTTTCCTGTTCTTAGGCTCAATTTTCACTATTGGTTTCACTAGGAATCTGTCTTTTGAGAGATCACCATTATAAAGTCTTGTAAATTGTTTAAGCAAATTATATAATGGGTCACATCTCCATTGTCAATCTAAATCATGGTTCTTGATGATTTCACATTTAGAGTAAATGAACCAATTTCCAGTGCTTGGTTGTTTTGGGGGAGCAGAGTGTGGTCTCCAAGGACAGGGAGTCTTCAGGGAGCACAGACCATGTTGTCTGGTTTTTCAGCTATAGGAATTGATCACATCCTTGAGATTCAGAGTTGAAACTTCTAGTGTAGTGTTTCCTTCATGCTTAGAATAGTGCTTTTATATGTGCTTAGGGCCGAAAGTTTGAAGAGCAAAATGTGGTGCGAATAGTGCATTTTTGTTTGTTCCTTAGCTTGACTTTGCATTTACTTGAAAATACAGACTGTATTCTTACATCTGAATGGCCTCCTGACATTGGTGGGATTAAAAAACAAAACTAAAAGGCTGGGGATATAGCTCAGTGGTAGAGTACTTGCCTATCATGCACAAGGCTGTGGTGTCCCCAGCACTGGAAGAAAAACTCCTTAAAACAAAGCCAAAGATCACAAAAAAATTATAGAATGGCAGCTGCCTGTAGTTTTATTTTTTAAAAATAATTATTACTCTTGACAACATTTTATCTTCAAAGTGTTTGGTGAATATTAATTAACTTTTTAAAACTTTAAAGGAATCCAAGTCAGCTTGCTTTTTCATAGTGAATAGCCCATTGAAGTCATGTTGTATAAGATTGAGCTTTAATTGACCTATAATAGAATTATTAAAAGAATCTTAATGGTACGCCTGAGCTTCAAAGAACAGAGATCTAAGTGGAGTAAAGTAATGTGCATCTAAGAAAGTAATTTGGTTCATGCTGATGAAAAGCTGAATTTATTGTCTTTGCCAAATAAATTCATGGCCAAATAAAATCCCTTAGTGGTGAGTGAAACGGACTGGGTTTAATTTGATTGCTGCTTTTTTTCTTGAGGCTATAGAGTAATGTCTGACCTGACATCTGCAATCAACATTTAGAAGATGTGAATGTTTAGTCAATTTGGGCCCAATACTTTTCCCATACTTAATTGGAGAAGTAGCAAAAAAGTATTAATAATAAGCCCAGAAATCAACCCATCCAAATAAAAAATAAAAGGCCTGAAATAGTTAGCATTCAAAAACATTTTCAAAATAAAAGTACAGGTACTTAAAGGTTGATAACATAACTACAATTTCAAAATAATTTCCCTGCTGAATTTCTGAAAAATTTGCTTTTGTTGAAGGTTTCTCTTTTAAGGTGGTTATTCTAAAATGACATATATTATTTCCTGATGAACTGTTCCCCCATCTACTCACATTTATGCCATATCTCATAAATCCTCCCCTCCCCCACACATACCACAGACAGTTATCAGTGGTGAGTTAATTTTTAACCCTTGTGGCAATGAGGAAGTGCTCCAGTGGATAAATTCAAAACCCTGGACTCTAGTAATTCATAACCCCTTCTATGTAATGAGAGCAACTGATATAATACAGTAAAAGGAGAAATATTGCATGTATACATAATATGTAGACAAAGTAAATAACCATCCATGAGGATGTAATTCAAGGAATGTCTAAGGGAGCCTTTACTTACCCAAGCCTCACTTTTCTAATTTGTAATATGGCCTCAGAAAGCAAACAAAAAACATGTTTTTCACAAATGTGTATTATTTTCAAAGTCAAGATCCTTGCAAGTTCTTGCTGCAGAAAAAGACAACTGTTTAGTTCCTGACTGTTTTATGCCTGAGCATGTTGGCATGGGGGTGATGTCTCCTAGAGATCTACTTTGTTTTTTTTTTAAATATATATTTAAAATTTTTGATTAACATTAATCATACATATTAATGGGATTCTGTGTGACATTTTAGTACCTGTGTAGTGTGCACTGATTAAATCTTTTCCCTTTATCCACGCTGCCTTCCCACATCTAGTTGTCCCTATTCTATATTCATTAGTCTTTTATGCAGTCCTCAGTTCCTCTGAAGCTCTCTCTGACCTCCTTCGGGATAAAATTCATGAATGCTTTCCCTGTCTTTTTCCTCATCTTTACATGCTTCTATTATAGCTTGTATCATAGTGATGCATTATTTTTTATATGCTGGTAGTTCATCAGTGCTGAACTGTATCGAGTTCATCTCTGTTCTCTATTTCCTAGTATGTAAAGGTTGCATATTGAATTTTTATTGAGATAAAATGAAGTAAAAATGCTCACCCCAGTCACTCAAAGGTCTTTAAGATTTAGTTAAATGTAATGGAGCAGCTTTTTTAAAAAACACTCCATTTTTAAAGAGTAATATTATCTTGTTTTTTTTCCTACAATGTCAATCAGTTAAATGAAGAAATTTTGGAAGATACATATAGTAGTTCTCTTATCCATGGTTTCACTTTTTGTAGTTCCAGTTACCTGTGGTCAACTACAGTCCTGAAAATATTAAATGGAATATTCCAGAAACAATTAATGAGTTTTAAATAACTTTCATTATAGAATATAATTACAATTATCCTATTTTATTTTTCAGTTGTTGTTACCCTCTTTCTGTGCCTGATTTATAAAGTAAGACTCTATTGTAGGTATGTGAAAACATAGTATATATGACCCCATTAGTAGTCTTCAAACATATCCTCCACAGATTAACAGGGAGGTGGTGGGGGCTACTGTACATTTTTAATGAAGAACATTGAAATAATTTATTATTTCACCCCTCAGAGATAAACATTAATAATATTTTGATATATTTCCTCAGTCTTTTTACTTAAATATATACATATACATATTTATTTAAGTACAGTGGGGATGTTACAGCTTATGCTATTTTGTAACTGTTTTGCCTTTTGATAAGTAGCTTATACCATCATGTATCAGTAAATATTCATCTAAGATATATTTTAATGCTTCATCATATGAACCTACCATATAATGTATTGGTTAAAATGTAAGTTTTTCTAGTTTGGGTTGTTGTTATAAATTATTCTGTATGAACATCATTCTGTAAAGGATTTAGAATTCAACTGGTTTAACTACACTAGTTTAAAATATTAAAATATTTTCATACTAATTATAAAATAGTCACTGCCTGAGTCTTCTGCATCTCCTTCTGAACTGATGAATTAGTAGTCTAGTAGTGAAGGGGTTTGTGCCAGGCACAGGAGCAGGTAGCACAAATGGCATATATTTTGATTAGTCCTGATGGTGATTTATCTGTTCAAAATAGTTAACAACACCCTGATACTCCACAGATATTTCTCTTTTTTTGAAGCCCGACTTGTAAAAATCTTTGACCAACAAACGTGTCAGGATCCTATCAGGAACTGCTCCCTTGAGTTTCGATAATTCATGGAGACTCACTAAAGGTACTATTTAAAAAGGAAAGGAGAAGGAACCCACAGGGCAGATGAGAATAGAGACCATTTTAACCCCAAAGTGTAAAGTTGAGTGGTTACTAGAAACTGCCAGGAGAGAGCCACTTTGAAAAGAGCTATGACTTTTGATGAAGGGTCACAGTCAAGCAGTGACAGCCCTATGGAGAACAAGCCCAGGAGATGGAGATCCCAGCCTCCTCTTCCCTCTTCCCTCTGGCCTCCTATCAGGGCTCTTCTTTGCTGGCCACCACAGGAAGACCACTGGGAAACCTGTATCTATAGATCAGCCTCTCCGGGTGGAGAATTAATTTGGAAGGGTAAGCCCAGAGGAGAGCTGGCACACATTCAGCCACTATTCCATAATGAAAATTTGTTTCTAGAAAATTTTAGATCCTCAAATGTAGGCTATAATCAGGATATCAGTTGATTATATTTATAGATCATCTGAATTGACTTATGAGGGAGTGCACTCTGCGTCAGTGGTGGGAGGGAAGAATCACAGGGGTATGAGGCACCTGGGGATGTAGAAGCACCTTGGTTAACCCCTCCTGCCCCCAGAGTTCAGCAGCGGGAAGAGTGGGTATACATCTTCAGAGAAGGGGCGGATTCTCAGTTCTTTCTACACAGGACAGTGGGCCAACTCCTAGATTCATGGATGTTATAAAATTATCTCAGAAGAGACCTTAAAGAACATCTCTGTCAGCAATATTCCAACTGTTTTTAGTCACAGAGTTCTTTCATGAAATGAAATTTTATGCAGAAGCCCAACATATAAAGCAAACAAAAGTACAGCTGCTGTGGTGGGTAGGAGTGAGACTCCCATCCTCCCTTCTCCTCTTATTCTGTACCCTGGGGACTTAGAGGATTTGCCTAGGCACACAGCCTCCTGGTGACAAAGTCTCTGCCTGTGGATTATATTCTCTGTCTCTGGACAGAGCCTCCTCCAGTAGTTGTAAGTTTGTCATGAAGGCTTCTCACACAGTCTCCGCTTCACACTATGGTCTTAGCAGCTTGATAACAACAGTGAGCTGTGATATAACCCTCTGTCTGCTTCTGAGCCTTGTGTCTGTGTTCTATATCCTAACCACACTTTATAATCCTAACTACACTTCATAAACAAATCAGTGCTCCGGCCCTATCTCCAGAGAGCCTGCATTGTTCGCTGTGCACTGGGTGGATAGGCTTCAGTAGTTTTCAGAAGCTCAGAGGATTCCAGTGAACAACAAGGGCTGAGAATGTCTGTTCTGGTGGCAGCAAGCACTAGTTCCCAGAAAGGAGGTTTGCTTAGGTCGGACCCAGGCAGCAGCTGATACTTCTAGCAGTTCCCACACAGATTGTGAAATCCAGGGGAAATGAAATGTAAGCTACTCATCAGGAAGAAGATTGGAGTCTGATTTTGTGACATGGAAATTGGGACTAAATTGCTCATAATTATGTTGTTTTTAAGATACTTTGTAAATCAGAAATAAACTGAGTAATAAAACTCCAGTGAAAAGCAAATATCTGTGCATATAATAAGTGCTTGGAGGTAGAGTTATGTTTTCCCAAGAGTCACTCACTCATCGATATCCTATCATATATAAGCAGTTAAGCAGTTACAATGCCTTCTTTTTTTTGCACATACAAAAAATAAGTTTATTGGGATAAACATACAACATAAATTTTAACTGCAGGTGGTTATACTTTTAGTGTTTCTGAAATGGTTCAGTAGAATTATCTTAAGTTATAGAATAAAATTTTAGAAGGATTTAGGTGCATAAAGAGAGTAGTATTTTTAAGGATGTTCATTTCTCCCATATAATAAATAAATATTGTTAAGGTATAGATATGCAATTATAATTTATACGAAGACATTTCTGTAATTTGTTACCCAATGGTTTAAATGAATGAGAAATAAACCACATTTATTTTGGTTTACATTCTCTTCACAAACATTAATAAAATCTATGCTTTGCTTTTTTTTTTTCTAGTGGAGGGATTGAACCCATAGTTTCATGCATGCCAGGCAACCTCTATCCAACTGAGCTGTACCCCTAGTGAAGCCTCTGCATTTTTAGTTTTAGGCTGACTATCTCATTATATTTGAAAAATGCTTTATCAATCATTTTCTTCTTCCAAATATGGTCCACTCTGTTTCTTTATATCGGGTCTCTTTTTCCTTGTAATAAACATTTGGCAATATAGTAAATAGTACGTTTGCATTTTCCTATGGCTACCCAACACTGAAGTTACCTACCTAAAGCATTCTCGATCCTTATTTCTAGCTAAAACATTTTCCATCCCTTTAAAGTATTTTTTTTCCTCAAAGTCCAATAGAAGTTACAGCTCTAGAAAAGAAAACTAATGTAAATGAATTAGGAAAAGTTCTTCCTACATTTTGGTCTTAAAAGTGTAACGTGTTTATTTGCCTTAGAACGTCATGTGATAATTGTACCCATTAATGGCTGTTGTCGGGAAATGAAATTGTTGTGATTTTTGTGCTTCTTGGGTTTCAGAGAGACCATCTCAGGCCGACACCATAATTAAGACACAAGGCTTTAGAGAAAGATAATCTCTCTCAATACCAGCAGAAAAATAAACTTAAGACTATGTGAATGGCTTTTTACTGTAATAAAAATTAAACAGATTTGTAGTTATAAACCCAGTTCTGTGAAAACTAAAAATCCTGAGGCGGAGACTTTCTTGCCAACTGTGGGAAGAAGTGCTTTTCTTTTGTGGTTATATCATATTACTAGATGCTGTAGAGAGATTTGCATAAAGGGACAGTGAAGTCCATGCCATGGTACTGCTACCATGGTCCAGAGGGCAGCCCCTTCGGCTCCCTGCCAAGTCCTGTTACTCTGTCATAGTTGCCTTCTCTTCACTGCGCCGGGCTTGTGACTGGCTCTTCAGGATTTCTTTCAGCATCCTCGTTTCCTCTCTTTTGTTCTTGAATCTGGTATTGGTATTTACCAAGAAATGATGTATACACTTGAAGAAGTATTTCCAGGGCACCTTGAGTTATTTAAAAGAAAAATCTAAAAATGAACACATGTATCCTCACTCTTACTTCATGTGTGTTAAATATTTATCTTTCCTTGATGGGTATTAAAATGAAAGCATTTTAGCCCCGAGATACCTCTAGTAAAAGTGAAGCATAACTGGAGAAGGTGCAAAGGAAGAACATGAGGTGATTTTGTGTTTAAACAAAGCAGAATTCCTTTTCATGAATCAGATTTGGGTTATGAAGTGTCAGTTCTGCACATTCTTTATAAAGAGACTAAAATGGGAATGATGATGTTTGCCTTGCAGGGCTTTGGGAGGCTTGGAAACAATCCAGTAATAACATATATAAACCCCTAGCATGAAGCCTGCAGAGTGTAGAAACAAAGGGCAGCTCTTGTTAGCACTTCTGTTCTCTTCTGCAGACTGCCCACCCTCCATGCCTCACCCGAGTGTTAGTAGCCTCTTTTCTCTGACCATTCCTAGTCTCCCTTCCCTGGTCAGGCCATATTCCCTCCTGGAACCCCCAGTGGAATCCATCTCTGCTTGGAAGTTTGGTAGTCTTTGGATCCAGAAGCTGCTGTGTCAGCATTAGTGGCTCAGGGCATTAGATTTTAATAGAACAAAAGCCTCCATAAAAGCAAACAGTGATTGGGTTCAGTTTGCCAATATGCCTACATCAGCAACACCAAAGTGACTCGCAGGGAAAATTTGAAAAACAAAACTCCCCCAAAAACTTCCAGTAAATAAATGTAACATAGCATTCCTTGGTTTGTTTCTTTGTTGGAAGAAGGCCTTCAGCCTCGTCATCATTCTCATCGCATTAGTCTGTTTGAACTGCCGTAAAAGAAAAATGGCTTAGACAATATTAATTTCTTTTGTCACAGTTCTGAAGGCTGGAAGTCCCAGATCAAGGTTCCAGCTGGTTTGGTTTCTGATGAGGGCTCTTTTCTTGGCTTACAGTTCACCACTGTCCTGTCATGTCTTCACATGGCTTCTCTGCAGTTCCAATCTGTGGAGAGAGAGAGAGACAAAAGAGAGCTCTTTTTTTTTTATAAGTTCACTGGTGTCTCTTTATAATTCTGTTGGGTCAGGTCTCTGCCCTTTATCGCCTTTTCTTTGGTGTGTGTGTGGGGGTGTTTACCAGGGATTGAACTCAGGGGCACTTGACCACTGAGCCACATCCCCAGCCCTATTTTGTATTTTATTTAGAGACCAGGTCTCACTGAGTTGCTGAGGGCCTCACTTTTGCTGAAGCTGGCTTTGAGATCCTTCTGCCTCAGCCTCCCGAGCCACTGGAATTACGAACATGTGCCACGACACCCAACCCTTTATCGCCTTTTTTTTTTTTAACCTTAATTACTTCCTCAGAGTCCCTATCTCAAAATATAGCTGCACTGGGGGTTAGGGCTTCAGCATGTGAATGGAGAGGCACCAACATTCAGTCCATAATAATGGTCATTATCATTTATTTGATAACATTTATTGAACATTCAAAATACTAGGAGGTGATAGAAGGGGTGTATGTTAGGTTTTATTAAGATCTATGTTATAGCTGCTGTAGCAAATTTGTGCGAACATTATTTTTTAAAAAAATCTTAACTATATTGTTTCATTTGATTCTCAAGCAGCCCTCTATGAGACAGGCAGTATATGTCTCCATTTGATAGGTAGAAAATTAAGGTTTGAATAAATTTAGTAATTAGCTGATTATACAGTTTGCAAGCACGCGCAAGGACTGGAATGAGAAATGTGTTCTGTCGTGCAGCTGTGCTCTAAACCACTGCATCACAGCCTTATTGAGATAATGCTTGCATCATAGCTCTCAACAGCACAAGTTGACTAAGGCAAGTGACACAGCAAACTCCAGATTTAGCAGGTGCAGTGTCACATGGCTAGGGTGTGAATTCAGGGAGAATGGAAGTCAGTGTCATAATCAATCACAATGCTGTGTTTGCTCTTATTATACTTGTGCAAAACTTGATCAGAATTTACCAAACTGTGTGGAAATATATGCTGTGTCAAGAATTTACACTTATCCCAACTCCCACTTGGGAACCTACTGCAAGTAGACATTTAGCACCATGCTTGGCATAGACTAGATGCACATCAAGTGTTAAACTAATGGAATTATTAGTATGTTGGTGACCTGAGTCAGTTTCCTTGATATAACTAAGCCTTCTTGGTGTTACCTTAATCACTTATTAACAGGAGATAATAATATCTATCACTGCCATTTTCCTGAGGATTAAATATATACTATTTATTTTTAAAAAGTAGTTGCTTTTCCTCTCCTCCCTGCTTTTCACTGTGTTTCTATAAATTTGGGAAAATAGGAAATAGTTTAATTTTGGCCTGTTTCAGGCAAAGGGTTGTATAATGGGAATCCTCCTCATAAATATCTCCCACACTTTCTAATTAAAAACTGTATGATATTCAGCTAAAATTTTAGATCTCCTTGAAGGCATAAGGTCATTAGCCATTTGCAGTTCATCTTGCATTGTTATAGTGCTGGGGTAGATTTCTTCTTTCTCATTCCTATAGAGAATATGTGCAAAGGGAGTTTAGAGTGAGTAAAGTAGTATAACTGTGTTAATGAGGGCTCTTCGAAGAGGAACAAACCTGATAGGTACTACAGTGTGTGGGGCAGGGGAATGTGAAGCACAGGAGTGAGATAGGCAGAGGGAAGAGTGTGAGGACCTTCGGCAGGAAAGACAAGGATCCGCTGAGGTAAGCAGGGCATCAAAACTTAACTCTGCCCATTCCTCTGTACCTTGGAAGTTGAAGCCTGGGGATCATTTCTGATTGCTGATGCAGATATTGAGTTGTATCTCATGCAAATTCCTAAATTAAAAACAATTATGTTGCATTATACTTTTGATATTTTTCTTCCATAGAAAGAATTGCATCAATATTAAAATTGTACATGACATATATCTGCATCCACACTTGTACGTCTATGTACACAATCTTGCTGCTGAAAAGACACTTTGAAAAGCCTCACTGATATGATTTCCTTTTCTTAGTCATTCCTGTATTGCTTTTTTTTAAACTGTAAAAGTGTCTGTGATTTTTCCAGTAATTATTCTCAGGAATCCTATGATAATGTTTTAGCACAAGTGAATTGAATATATTTTTGCAGTAGCCATTTTTTCCTCATTGTGTCAGTTTTTGTATATGAATGAAAAGTGTATATAGAATGTGACATTAATACCTGGGGCCCTCCCTAAATCTTTAGCCCTCCAATGGCCATAATGTTATCTTTGCTCATTTCTGAGAAATATCATTTCTTCATTATAATAATGCATACACACACACAAACACATTTATGTGTGTGTGTGTATAACTAAAATCTTACTTTTTCGCAACCCACCAGATGTAAGGCAGACACACATCTGGCTTCTATCAGTTAGGGAGTAGCTTTAAGCACATCCTGTTAAATTGTCTGTTCCCAAAAGCAATCCCAACACATTCAGTGAATGTTATTTTTCCCCCACAGTTATGTTCTTGATTGGACCACAAATTTTTCCATAATACTCTACTTGAAAAATAGGACATTCTAGCTCCTTATTCATAATCAGCTCTCACCCCCAGCCTTTTTTAGAAAACTCTTATAAAAAAATGAGACATTAAGTGGATTGTGTTCCAGCTTTGGAAAGATAAGTGAGTATTAGTTGTACCATTTTTTAGTTGCGTTGATTAACTGGTTCTCATTCTTTGTGTTTGTGTACTGATTAGAGCTGGTGTAACTAACTCTCTCCTGTCCTTTACGTGTCTGAGATATACTAGATTTGCTGCTGGTTTTCAATCAATTACTTATAAAGGAAAGCAAATGATTAACTTCAAATAATTTAAAGTTAGTTAAAACAATTTGAAAAATTCTAGACTTTGAATGTTGCTAGTTTTACTACTGAAGGTTTGGAATATAAAAGAAAAAAATTCATCTTTTAGAGCAAGAAAATTATAAGAGGGCCCTGAATTTTCTCCAGTACACTTTATTGACAGCATGTTTCATAATTTAACCTTAACTACTAAGGTAGCCATAATACTTATTCTGTTTTCTAGTTGTTGCATAATTAATAATTAAGCTAGATTTTTACAGAAAATTTGATTTGCTGAAAATTTGATTTGCAGAAAATTTTTTGGAATTTTTGAAGAAAATAGTGCTGAAGGGGTGCATCTTATCAGTAATCTGGTGGAAGCCATGGTTCACTGGATACAACAGAGAAATTAAAGAAAGGAGCCATGTTTCAACAGTGGTAGCTTCCCTAACAGGGCAGAGGATAATCTTCCTTTAAGCTTTCAAATTGTAAGTAGAGAAATTACTCAATAACTTAAAAAGTTAAGTTTTTTCTCTTTTTAAGTATGGAAGCAAATAGGAAGAGGAGGGTAGGGTATGAATTATTGCATTACCCTGTCTTTTCCCTTTAAGCATTCCTCATATAAAATGCTCATAGGACTTCTCCAATATCTGCTGAATCATCTGGTAAATCAGATAATTACTAGCATTCAGTGTTCTCTGCAAAATGGATCTGAAAAGGCCACACAAAATTATTATTTTCAAATATGTAGCACATATCTTCTAAAAATGACACAACCTGTATCTACCTCTTAGTTGTGAATATCAGCGTTAGTAATATTTTTTTTAAAAAAGAATAGGCTTTTGGAGGAAACTTTATTTAATTAAATCTTTTTGATTCTGGATGTATTTTGTTAACTAGTCTGCATTGTATTTGGCATTGATTTTGATCCAGTGCTCTATACTTGATGAACCAAAAACTCCTAAATATTCTTACATTAGTTAGTATCTTTCTCATCAGTTAAAAATTCCAGAACAAGGTTTTATAGGGTCTTGTGCAATAGAACCATGGCACCCACTTCCCACATGAGAAACACATGCGGTATATTGCATATACGTAAGCAAGTGACAGCATGTGTGTACACCTCGTACCAAACTTAGGAAACACTCAACTTTTGTTTCTGAGTATGCTTCTCTCTTATTTGTATCTTGGTAGAACTCTAGCTAAATGTTTTACCTGTGTAATATATCTTGTGCTTATTTCTTTTTTATAAATAATATTTATTAAGTTTTAATAAAAACATGTATAAAGAGAACAACATTTTTAATTCTCTCTAGTTATTTTTAAAGTGAGAAATAATCATTTAAAAGAATAAATCACTCATGAACCCTTCAAGAAAAAATTTTTTTGTATATTCAGGATATGTGTGTGTGTGTGTCTGTCTGTGTATGTGTTTTCATACTTCTTCCTTAAACAATAGCATCACTATCCTACATAGTGTCGTTATTGTTATGCCTTAATCTTTTGTAAGGACCGTGAAATACTCTTTATTTTATGACTGTGTCAAAATGTACTTAGCCAATATCAATCATATTGATGAACATTCAGGGCATTTCTGTTTTTTTACTATTAAGAACATTATTTCAGTGAACCTTCATGGATATACAACTTATTGGTACTTTGCAAATGTATTTGTGCAGTAAATTCTAGCTGGAAATTGTTGGCTCAAAAGAGCATTATTTTTAAGAGCACATGAAGCAGTAAACTAACTTACACACTGTAGGGTAATAGTTTAATAGTGTTTAAGTATATCTGAGTGGCAGAAATTGACCAAGTAGAATTATTAGACTAAAAATAAAATTGTTGTGAGTCACTGGGATGTGCTGTGGACTGTGAATATGGTTGTAATAGCCTATAATTAACTGTCATCAACTTTAGGCTTTATGACTTGGAATTTTTGTCAGAATTTCCCCCTGTCATTTCACAAGCAGTTAGTAAACATTCTGAGGGTTCATTTTAGATCAAAAGCCATTTTTTAAAAAAGGAACTAGCCACAACCTTCCTGTGCTTAACTGTCTTTAAAATCAGACACTCTAAGGAACACTGTGTTAGGAAAAAAAGCTTGCATTTTCAATTAATGATTGTGTTTTCCTTCCTCAGGTGGAAGAGGAGATCTCAGAAAACAAAACACTACTGAGGCCTCTATTGCTCCTGTAACTTGGAACCGGAGAGGAGGCAAGATGCTGGCATAGCTGTTGAGCTGAGAACCTGCTATGCCAACATATTGCCATCTTTCCTGTCTGACAGCAGCCTGGCCTTCTGCACACCATTCTTCCTCGTCTTGCTGCAGATACGTGCCCTTCTATGGATGTGGGTTTTCTTGATATACCACCTTCCCACCGTGTACTGGGACACTCGCCCTGTTCTGGCCATGTTGACCTTTTTGGTTATTCTTGGATTCCACTGAGGATGTTCCTGCCTCTTAGTTTTCTTTCTCTCATCATTGGAGTCTCAGCAGGGACTCACATCTCAGAGAAGCCTTCCTTAATTACACTGTCTGTCACAGCTGTCATGTACCCCATCTTCCTCCTCCCATTACGCTGTGGTACCTTCAGAATCCTAGGTCACTCACTGAATGTGTCTGTTCTCGTGTTTGCTATCCTGTTTCTTGCACTAGAATATGAATTCCTCAAGGTTAGGGTTTGTCTATTGACCCATTGTATCCCCAGCACCAGACACCTAGTAAGCCTTCAGTACGTGTGTTTGAAACTCCAAAGGAATTTTATTCTACAATAGAGGGGTCAAGGAGTTACATTTTTCATGTTACCAATGGCTTTGATGTAACTCTGGCTCACAGGTAATAAAGAAATAAAGAGATGATGTTGAGTTCTTGGCCAGCAAGCCGAACACCTTAAAGCAGTCAAAATAAATGCTTTGTGGGGTCCACAGACCCAAGGCAGTAAGCATATTATAATGGAAAAGGCATCAGTTTCAAAATAAAAATTTCTGTTCCAGTCTCCCCACTGGTGTTTTCCTGCAGGTCCTCAGACAAGTCACTTAGCCTCTGAGCCACTGTTTTATCAGTTGTTAAAAGAAAATATTGATACCAACTCCACAGGATTCTTGCAAGGGATATTTTAACCAGAAGGTTTTTACCTTGCATCTAAAAGCATGTCTATAAAATTTCTGATATATATGCACTAATAAACATCCCACAAATTTTAAGTATTTTACTTTCTAGAAATTTTTTTTTCTTCAGTTAGAAACAGATAATTTTAAGTATGTCAAAACTGTAGTACATGTAGAACTCTGTATGAGACAAAGAAATCTGGAGCAACCAAGGAGTTAAGAAGGATTTCAAATTCTTCTTCTGGTTAGTTCACACTCTTCACCTTCTTTATTTCTAAAGTTACTCATTGTCGGGCTAGGGTTATAGCCCAGTGGTTGAGCGCTTGCCTCGCATGTGTGAGGCACTAGGTTTGATCCTCAGTGCTACAAAAATAAATAAATAAAACAAGATATTTTGTCCATGTATAACTTAAAAAAATATATTTGTTTAAACAGTCACTCATTGTGGACTTCTGACCTTTAAAGATTCACTTTCTTACAGAGTAAGAGTACTTGATAGGGAGTTGGATGGTAGAGCACTTGCCTAGCAAGTGTGAGGCACTGGCCTCAATTCTCAGCACCACATATAAATAAATGAATAAAATAAAGGTTCATCAACATCTAAAAATTTTTTTTTAAAAAGAGTATAAAACTCTGCTTTTAACAAACTAAATTTATGTTAATTTTGATGCTTTTCTAAGAAACAGAAAAATGATCATACTTCTCAACTGATACTATTTATTGTTACTCTGGGTATTAGAACTGTAATATTCAGAAAGTGCTGGTTATATCTTTATTTCATACTTCTGAAAGTACATCAAGTGAAGTTGTTCATTTAACAAAATTGTAAAGCTCAACACTGTGACAATTTTAGTCTATAGCTTTTGTAAGTGTTCTGTGTTAGGAGCCATCCATGGGCTGTGTGTGTGAGCTATGCGCATTTGAGTGTATGAGGGGACTGGTCTGGCGTTGCTTGCTGATTGGGCTGTGCAAAGCAAATGTGCCTTTTCTCGCACTCTGCCTGTGATCCCGCACAGCACCTGAGATGGGTGTGATTTGCCAAGGTGTCAATCAATCTGCTGACCACAGGACATCACCAAGAAAGACTCTACCTTCGAAACCCTACCCCTTGCCTTATTTGGGTGGAATCTTCTATCGAAAGTCTTCTCCCCAATAAATATGGGGGTTTTGGGTGTGCTCGCTCTCTTGCCTCTTGCTCTTTCCAGCACTGCCCAGTGTGGAGCTGAGGTGAGGTCACAGAGCCAACCTTGACCCCCCCCAAAAGTATTTTGTGTTTGTGTGGTTTTTTTCATTGCTAGCCCAGTTCATGCGGATTGACCCTGAATCCATTGCTGTGCTGGACGTGGGCGATAGTTCTGTTTATGCAAGCATAATTACTTTAAAGACATCATTTAAAAACTCACAGTGGGTGTGGCAGTGCACGCCTGTAATCCCAGTGGTTTGGGAGGCTGAGGCAGGAGAATCACGAGTTTGAAGGTAGCCTCAGCCAATTAGCAAGGCCCTAAGCAACTCAGTGAGACCCTGTCCCTAAACAAAATACAAAATAGGGCTGGGGATATGGCTTAGTGGTTAAGCACCCCGAGTTCAATCCCTAGAACCAAAAAACAAACAAACAAAAAAACTCAATATGACAAAAAAAGTACCTTAAGCAATATGAAGTACTTTAAGTTTTAGATTGTTTCTCTTGGTGGCTTGTGTATTCATCACCTTGTTTCATTCCTTCATTTCTTAAATTTATTCTTCATTTCTTAAATCTATATATTCAGAAACAAATATATAGAACAACAGCCTCTAGCCCTGGAAGGCCATTGTACAAGACCTATGTTAGCCATAACTTTGAAGAACTCACTGAAAATTGACAGTCATAACACCTTGTTCATTCTTTACCCTGATAGTGAAAGTACTTTCTTGAGGGAATCAAGAGGCCAGATAATATAGCTTCTTGTTTTTTTATTTACTTTTTTTTAACCTATAACTTAGTTTATAAAATTTGTTTCATGAGTTTGAGTTTCTTTGCCTTCTTCAGAGTTCCATCCACATCAGTTATAGACATATCCATTGCTCCCTTGACCTCCATGCAGTTGATGAGCTGGATTCCAAGAATGGAAATGAACTTTGAACTCACTTAGATCAACCCTACACATCTGAATATGTTTTACTGTCATTGCTGAACACCCATACCTTCCTTTATTCCCCCAAGTAAACAGTCATGGAAGGGGACAATTTGGACATAACAACATTATAGTGAAAGGCTGAAACATTAATATTCTTAAGTATCCACTATCTTCTTTCTATCAGTGGGTTTTACATTTGAATGTTATTCTGCCAATCACTTGGAGAGCTTGTTTAAAAACAGACTCCCAAACCATCCTCCAGGCATTCAGATTTAATAGATCTTGACTGAAATTTAAGAATCTTCATTTCTAATGAGCACCCTATTGATGTTGATTCAGTTTGAGAATGCATTATACTTTCTCTCAAGTCTTAAGTCAGAGGGCAGGTTTTCAAATTTCTTAAATGAGTCTCAATATGGAACTTAGGCCTGGTGGTAAAAGGAGTCTGCTTTCTCACTATGCCTGGGCTTACGGAAAACTGGACCAACGTTTTGTAGCTGTGCTTTATCCTCTGAGGTTTCTTACATAAACAGCCCACATAACTACGCACAGGAGCATTGCACCAGGGGCTACCCATGTGCTTCTGCGGAGCTGTTTTTAACTTCAATCATCTTTTCTCCACTGGTATACATTACAGTTTCCAAGATGTTGTATTTTCTTTCCTGATTGACTGGATATTGACCCAAAGTCTTTACCTCTAAATATTCTCCTTTCTGTAGGATTTCTGTCAAAATGGAAAATGATATATGAGCTCCTTGAGGCTACAGACTAGGTCTAATTATGTAGAAGGAAATTTTTCAAAATTTATAGGGCTCTTACAGTGGTAAATCTTTATGTAAACAAAGGATCATATCTTAATTGATCTATTTCTTAAGTTTAGATTTTTGTGGATTCTCTTTTAAATTGGGACATCTTTCCTTTGTGAGGCAGTGTGGTATAGTAGAAAGAACTTCAGAATGAAGTACAAAAAGTTCTGGCTTCTTGTATTGGTCCTGTCCTTTTCCAGCCCTGCATGTGACTTTGCACAGCTCATTTAATCATTTTCCTTAGTTGTAAATTGGGGGTAATAGTAGGAGACCTTATATGTTAGGAAGAAAAGAGAGAAAGGAGAAATAACAGCTGTGAAAAGTAAACCTGTGGTCATATTGGAATATAACCTACAAAAAGAATAGTTGAGGGTTTGAGTAGTAATTAATTTTATTTTTTTCAACATTTTATTGCTTTGGGTTGTAATTGTCTAATTGAACATAAGAAAAAAATAGAGATGCAGGTAGAAGGCAGATAACTTTTTTCTCATCCAACCTGAACCACTTATTTTCAATCTAATTCCTGTCCAAGAAAAGAAAACTAGTATTTTAGTTAGCTTCATCTTGAGGGAATGTCCTGCTTCTCTTCTGCTGTTTAAAAGCCTAAAAATATGATAATGATTCTGTGACTCACACGCTTGCTTTCTCATTGGCTTACTATGTGATTCAAATCAGATAAGGTATAATAAACTGCTTTGAAAAATGGTAAGAAGCTCTGAAAAAAGAAAGAATGAAGTTCTAAGATATTGTTTACAAATCTTTTCTCCCTTTACACCTACAAAATTTTATATTTGAAATGATTGAGATTTTAATAAAATCAAAAAATTTTCTTCTAAGCCTGGCTATAATGGTTTCATATGTAGCAATCTAATTGTTTATCATTTTGTTTGTAGTAGCTAGTCTACAGGAGATTGGGGGGAAGGGGTAAGCATCTCCTTTCATCTATGCTTGTATCCACTACAATAGATTTCATATTCCATCAACATGTATCTGTCTCAAAACCACAATAAAAGAAAGCAAAGTACTGCTTTAAGTTTTCACTATAGCTTGGGTGGTTTTTTTATTCCCACATGAATGTTTTGTATATTTATTTAATATTAGAAACAACACATATTAGTTTCCTTTTCAAAGTTTTTTAAATGTTTTGAAAGTTAATTTAAATAAAATATTAAGAAATTTATGATAGGTGAATATAACAAAAATTTTGTGGAGGTGTGGCTCAAACTTTAGAAGACCTAATTAGAAAGTTTAGATAAGCAAGAATCTGCTATGGAGTAGCAGAGGAAAGCTATATGATGAACATGTTAGATGTTACCTAAAGTTTCTCCAATGTATGTTTCAATTTGAGAAATGTGTATTATTCTTGGATGAAGAAAATTTCAGTTTTAAGTGAGAATTAATTTACTTTGCACATGAATTGCATATATGTTATATATTTAGTTGCTGTCAAGGATTAATAGTATTTCCCAGATATAAGGGCATTATTATACATTGTGTCTTTAAAAGCAAATGATAAGCAAGTTTGTTTATAAATTGATTATAGTCAATATGAGTAGGCATGTGTCCCTTTTTTGGAGACAAGATGATTCTCATTGCCAAACTGTAGCAATTTATGACAGAGAAGAAACATTATCTGCAGATGTGCAACAAAAGCAGAAACCCTTTCTTTAGTTTAGAAAGTTTTTAAAGTCTCAGCTTGTATCAGAAAATAACACTGGGGTAATTGCCTTATAGTGCCTACATAATGCCATGAGACATGCAAATTAGAAAAAAAAATATCATCAAAGATAATTTGCTAAACATGGACTTCAATATCTAGATGTATAAAAAAATGTAGCAAAGAGACTCATCAAGCGTGCATGAGAAAACAAAACTGGGAGAATGATGTAGTTACTGGGAAGCAAGCCACCTTCATGGTTTGCATACTTTGAAAATATGTTCCATCTGATTGCTTAAATCTGGAGAAAAATGAGTGATTTGAATTTCTGACTCCAAATTAATCATTTGGCCATTGAAAGAATTTACAGAAGATATTCATGGAATTTGTATGACCTAGAATGATCTCACCCGTCTCTCCCTTCCCTCCCTCCCTCCCTCCCTCCCTTCCTTCCTTCCCTCCTTCCTTCCTTCCTTCCTTCCTTCCTTCCTTTTTTTCTGGAAATGGGGATCCTTCCTTCCTTCCTTCCTTCCTTTTTTTCTGGTAATAGGGATCAAGCGTAGGGGTGCTTTATTACTGGGCTATATTCCCAGCCCTTTCTCTTTTTTATTATTATTTTTTTTATTTTGAGGTAGGGCTTTGCTAAGTTTCTGAGGCTTGCTTTGAACTTGTAATTCTTTTGCCTCAGCCTCCTGGGTAGCTGGGATTATAGGCATGTACCACCATATCTGGCTCTATTCATGTTCTCTCATCTGCTTTTCCACTTGCAAACCTTTCCTAATTCCTAAAACTTATAAGAGATACCCAGATACTGAACTTCAGTGAATTGTCATAAAAAGTTGAGTTGAGTCTATTGCTGGATTGTAGGGAAATGAGATATATATATATATATATATATATATATATATATATAGAGAGAGAGAGAGAGAGAGAGAGAGAGAGAGAGAGAGAGAGAGAGAAGCTTATTTGGGGAGGGAGATACAGATCTAATTCACTTGAAAGAATAGCACCCGAGAATAAAGAAAGAGGTTTTTAAAAAAAGAAGCAAATACATATGGTGATGAGGTCACAAACTGAAAAACAGGAGAAAGGCCACATTTAAAAATTAAAATGATTAGTTGTCAGATGAATATTTACCCTCAATTTAACATTTTTAAAATAAATAATTTTGTAATATATATATAACTGTTATATATTATCATATATTATGAATTACAGAATCCTTTGCATAATTGAATTAGAAATAAATCTCTAAGTTTTTTGAGAATAAAAATTTTTATCCAACTTCCTATGTCTTGAGATGGATTTTTTAGATTATTTATTCATCATTCAATACTAATCAATTAATTAATAACTTCTCACATACCAGGTACAGAGTAGCTCTCCACTGCTTACATTCTAAGAAAACAGATAAACAAGTCATCACAAGTTGGACTGCAATAAGGAACTACTTTTGTCTGTGGAAACATAATAAGGGAACCTGAAAAACTACTCCAAGGAGATTTTTGCTGTTGATTATTAGGGTAAAAAGTAAGGGGAAAAGTGTCAGAAAGCACATGAGAAAGTTCTGAAGCTAGGAATTTTGGCACAAAAAGACCTGGGATGTCTGGGATGTTGAGTGTAGTGAGGAAGAGAAGGGATTGGGGGATGCAGTGAGGGGAGGGGAACCTGATGAATGTGCAGGTTATACCTTATACAAGGCCACTGAGGAACTAAAAGTCAATGCCTCATGGTGAGATTTTTTTTTCTTGAATATTCATCTCTTCTCCACAGGTTTATTCACTTCTTCCCTCTCACATTTCCTAAAATTTAAACTTCCCTTAATGCTGTCACTCCTCTTTGTTACTGGCTCATCCTTCTCTTTGTACACTAACTTCCAGCAAAAATAGCAAATGCTTACAGGCTCTGCTTCTTGATGAACTGTTCACTCCTTACCCTTTGCAATCTGCCTTCTGTTCCCAGGTGGAACTGCACTTTCCAAGAGGTCCTTGACTTGATGGTCACAAGCCAGCAGCCACCCATTTTTGTGTACCGATTTCCTCAACACTCCCTTTCTGAGGTCTGTGATACCACCTTGTCTATTCATAGCATCTCTAGCAACTGTCTCTGTCTTCTCACCTTCACCCTTCATCCTTCTATTTTTGGCCTATTTCCAATTGTTTCCTCTCCTTTATTTCCTCTTGATTCTCTTTTTTTCCTGGACTATCTGCCTCTACCACTTGGGTTTCAGCTCTTATGAACACTGAAGATGTCTTATCTACCTGTCCAATCTAGATTGCTCTTTTACTGTTTTACTTTTTTTTTTTTTCTAGTTGCCTCTTTTGTAGCTACAAATGGCTGTGCCATTCGTACCACAAACTTTTAGAAAGTCAGAAACCCACTTCACCCAGGTGACTTCTTTTCTTATCTTGGTTAAGTTTCATCACCAATCCACCCTGGGAACCTAAATATCATCTTTCATCCCTTTCTTACCTGTCCTCATACCATTTCTCCCACGTAATCACTTGTTAAATCCTATTGCTTCTACTCACCAATGTCTCTCATGGAGTTACTTCCCATTCCAGCTGCTGCTGCCTTCATTCAGAACCAGTTCCCACTTAGCCATGGTAAAATCTTCTAATTCATCTCCCAGCCTCTATTTGCAGCTTCACCTAATCCAAATCTATTTCCCATTCCTGTTAAAGCAATCCTCCTAAAATGTACATTTGGTGATCTTAGTGTCTTGCTTGTTTTGAAAAAAGTTATAAATCCTTAGCCTGAAAGTGAATGGGCCCCACAGGTTTGCAATAAACTATTTTTTTCTCTTTCATCTTCTTTATTTCTGTGCCCTGCCCAAAACAGACTGTTTTAAAAGTCTGACATATATTCATTCACACTTTCATTGCTTCATATTTTTCTAGGCTTTCTGAACTGCAAAACTGTTCATTCCATGGTGCCAATGAAAATGGTAATTCTTCAATGAGATCATCCCCTGATCCTCCCAATTAAAATTAATTGCTATATTCTACATCTTCCATGAGTATTTTGTATGTGATTCTGTCACAGAGAACATTTATCCCTTAAAATATCATTATGCACTTGTCATGTGTAAAGGACAGAATTTGTTGTTTGTTTGTTTTTACTGTCTCATGTGAAGGTATCTTCCCAATTCCTAGAACAAAATTAAATATACAATGCATTTGATGAATATATGGTGATTATCAGTTGTTCTGTTGATATACAAAGTACTTCCAAAGACTCAGCTTTTATTAAAGTATAAACACACACACACACACACACAAAAAGTCCCTGTAGCCTCTTTTGCTAAATGAAAACATCTTTTCCTGCCCAGGATCGTCAGGAGCTCTTTCTTATAAAGTTGTTTTTTTTCTTTCTATTTAAGGATGAGAGACTTGCTTGGACCATCTTGAGGAGAAGAGGTCCAGTGTAAGAATTCATAAGGTCTGAAATTAGAAGATGTCAAGAACCAAAGCAGCTCTGAGGCTGTGCTCTTCTCTCCAGCTGTCATCTTCAATGTAGTGATTGCTCATTCCCCCTCCCCTGAGAGTTGCTTCATTATCTTCTTTGTTCAATTTTCTCCTCTTACTCATCTTTATCTTCTTGTAGCCTTGGTTTGGAAGGAACCTATTGAGGTGCCACCACCTACTCTTTTGGACTCTGTATCTATGTCATGGCCTTTCAGCTTTATCCCCCACCTTTCCATATTTCCCAATTCCCAGAATCTATGGGAGCACCTCTGGGCCCATCACCTCTGGCCTGCTGTAGATCTTGATGGCCTAGGCCAGGAACTATGAACCAGGTACTTTTTTTTCACAAGGGGCATGAGCCCTAACTGTCCACACTCACCAAATGCCATCACCAAATGGCATGTACTTATATTCCAATGTGTACTTAACATTTGGAATTATTTTCCTCCTATCATATATTCTAACATAACACTAAAATAATTTTATTGATTAAAAAGAAATCATAACCTCAATTTTTGTTTCTCTTCTTTTTTATAATGTGCTTTGTCCTTCAAATCACCCCCTTATAAGATTTAGGATTGCTGATATTCCAAAAAGTCACAAACCTTAGAGATTCTATTTCTCCTTTTCTTCCTCACCTTTCTTAATAGAGCCCTTGTAAATACCAAATTTCTGATGTTTGCCCTTAATTTTCTTGCTTCTGGGAATTTTT